AGGGAGGAGGAGGAAGACTATTTAGTGCTATTTAACCCCCCTGTTGTGTTACGTTAGGAGTAAAAGCATCGTTTTAAAACAAAACTGAGATGTTCCATTTTGAAAACAAAAGCAAAATATTTTGACTTAACAATAAAAAAAAAATTCATCCATCAAAGCAGGTTTTAATGCACTCAGTTATTTCTCTGCCCATTTCCATTGAATGTCTGTAACAGTTGATGAACAGAACTATAGAGGAGATCTGAATGTATTCACCATCCATCTATAAGATAAAAATTGAAGACCCTTTAATGTTCCGTGGTGAAGATCTTGGGGAGGACAACCCAATACTTAAAAAGAAATAAGGTTTGCTTATTCTGTAAATATTTAGCAAGTGCTTTCCATCCTGTGTCTGAATAAGGCTTTAAATAATAGATTTGTTCTTTAATGTGGTCATTCTTTAGTCAGCATAACCCTATCATCAGCGTTACCGTAATGAGCAACCTCATCATCCTTTTTTTCCAGGTCTACCACATTTTCAAGAACAAAATGATTTAAAGGGATTGCTAGAAAATCTCCATCAAAATATCCAGGCCAAAAAGAGAAAGAATGTAGAAATCATGTGGCTGGCTGCAACGGTAAGCTCTCCTCTTTCAGACCCGTTCACATGATGAACTAATTTCCACATGCCTGCTGATCTTGTAAGCGTGATGGATTTTAAGGATGTGGTTGGAAAACTCAGTGATTAAAGTAAACATATGCTGAAATGGTTTTCTAACATTTCGATTCTGATAGCCTCTCATTCAATTAATGAATATATATTCCTGCACTTAAATTACAGATATTTTCTTTTTCTCACTTTCATAACTGGTAGAACTGGCTAGACTTCAATGCAAGAGATGGTCTTGGTCACTTTATCCCTTACTTTCTCCAGGACCTTTTCTGCAGAGCTTCTCCTAGTCAGGCAGTCCATGGCCTGTGCTGCTGCTTGGGGTTGTTTTGTCTCAGATGCAGGATTTTTCATTTATCTCAGTGAGTTGTGTAACAGAGTAAAAGAGGTTTGCTTTTTTGGGGGGGCATGTTTCTCCTTTAGCTAACTGATTCTGGTTTTAGGCAGAGGAATCACTTCATCCCCAAATCAATTCCTTGGACAATCACACATAGCTCTAAATATATCACCTCATCTGAGAGAGAGAATACAGTATTCAGCTACAGTATCCAACCTTTTTTTTTTTCTTTATTTAGAATTCTTTGATAATATAAAATTTGATTGTTCAACATATCTTCCTTTCGTTGTTTTGCGTCCATAAGCCTTGAGGTATGATGCAGAACATGATTGCTTGCTCTGGCTTTTGTTTAATATTGCTGCACTCAACTTTTGATTTTCTGTAATTAGGGTACTTATGTTTTATAAATAAGTGTTTAATTGTAGCAGTACAACTTTTAGTCAATCACATTTTATGGGTTTTTTTTTAGCCAGTGTCACCATGGCAGCCACTCCCAGGGCACTGATAGCAACACAAAAGAGGCTAGACATGCAAAGGATAGATGTTCAGACACAGGGAGAACACAAAGAGAACATCTTCATCAAACAGCAAATAATCCTTAGTTTGCTTTATTCACATAATTCCTTCTTGTTTCCCAATTCTGTGGGTTTTGCACATTCTGTGGGTTAAAAAAAAAAAAAAACAAAAAAAAAAATCCCGCAACAAAACATCCCTTAGATATTTATAAAGAGCTCAAGCTTTTCAGAAATGTGAAATTCAACCAGGTAATTGTCTTAGATTTACAAAAAGTACCTTTGATGTCTCTGCCAATTTATACAAGCGGAGACATGAGTCTTTGGCATCTACTGAAATTGAAGCAAGACCTTGTGTTTTGGGGAACTTTCAGATGCATACACCCTTCAAGGCAAATAAATATCTCATACAAAATATTAATAAAATTTTCCATGACTTTTCATTAACAGCAGGAACAAGACAATATTAACTCTGTCTTTGTATTAATAACACTGCTGTATTTTTTTTTATGTTGCTAATAACATTTTGCCTTGTGGTTAATAAATAATATCACATGCTGTTGCAGTATAAATCTGTTGTGAGTAAAAATATAAGCTTTTATTGCAATACCAGTTCTGCTATTACTATGAAACATTGCTTTTTAAAGGAATAGAAGATGAATCACTACAGGATAGCGTGAAACGAGCTACAAAGAATATGGCAGAATTTACTTAATCTTTGGGTATAGAAAGTTGTATTCTACCACCTATTTGGGATTCCCTGAAAGTCATTTCATGGGTAAAAAGCATTCTTTGGACATATAAACTGTTTCAGATTTTTCCTTCACTATATTCTATTTCTCTTTACCTTACTGTAAATTTCTGAAATGAGTATTTCTGGACCTATTGACCTACACACTGTTAATACTGTTACATTTATTTGTTGGGAAGGCATGATTCCCTGCTCTAAGGATATCACTTTGGTACTGCAGTAGATGTATGAGATTATACATGGATCTGCATGAGTATCTCTACCTGCATGTAATCCCTGTTGTAATGGGACTGTGAGAATACATCTGCGTTTTCAAAGTCAACTTTTGCAAATTGATATCACAAACATTTATTCTAAATATAATGGGACAGAGATTTAAATGTTACATCTCTTTATTTCCTAAGCTGCACCCTGCATCTTGTGTCTTATATCAGGAGAAATAATCAGAGTATTGTTTCATCCTTGTTTTAGTCTTCATGCTTTTACCATCCCCACTTTAAGCTTAATCACGATCCTAATCATTTAAATCTGTGTTGGTAAGAGAGATTTTCTAAAGCTCTAATAAATGTTAAGTCTATTTCTCCTTCTCCTATGTCTTCAATATATTCGGGGAAGAAGTGATCAAAATTGAGGGTAAAATTTAGGCTGGGCACTAATTGTAAACCATGTGTTCTGATATGATATTCCCATATATTTGGTATTGTCTCTATTAGATTTCTAGAGCATCAGATCATTGTGTTGGCCCATTTTAATTATTTACTTTGTTTAACTGTCACTGCTTTGTGAACTGAGTCATTCTGAGGATTTATCTGGGTCAGCCTATTAGGTTAACCACGTTTCTCCTTAAATCAGAATCTACAGATTTTAATTGTTTATTTAAGTTAGCAGATAGTTTTCTGTTTAATCCCCTTTAAAATGATTGAGACATTTGTACTGAACTTCAATGCAAAATAAGCTCGTGGGTATGGTCATTTGCTTGTTGTGCCTAGAATGCTGCTCAGGTCCAAACAGACTTTATATATCTGCTGCCAGCCCAGAGTTGGGATGTCGTCTCCCCTCCCTGCATCAGAGCCATCACTCAGCCCAAATAAATTACCTTTTTTTTTTCTTATGACTCATTCACTTTGGATAGTCACAATGACTCATGGACTTCAAAAGAGACTAGTGTAAAGAGAAATAATCTCTTCAATTAAGCAGTTAACTTCTTTCACAGCATTATCAGACCTGATAGTTTCTTTAAAAAAAAAAAAAAGGCTTATAGTACTTCATTTGAATCCCAATGCAACTTTCCAAATTTTTAAACAGATTTAAGTTTTAAAATTTTGAATTATGGGAGGGAAGAAACACTTGTATGTTCTCCTTTACTAGCCTTTACTTCTTTGGGTTCACGGTTGGATTCAATTCCTTATTTCCCAGGATTCAACTTTTGAGATCGCCCTGACCACCGTACTGCAAAGACCTTAAAGGCTTTAAATACTGTGTGGGCGATTGATTTTAATAGGATTTCTGAGAATGCGATTAACGGATAAAAAAGTGTTTATTTTCTGAAGCGAGATAATGAAGATCATGTTCCACTTCCATCTTGCAAGATCCCAAGTAACAACCTGATAGCCAAGCTGAGAAGTTCCTTAGGACGAGGCCTTAATGCTCTAATTTATTGCCTTGCCCTATTCTCATCACTATTTCCTTTTTTCGTACTGTTAGAGCTGTGATTGTCCAGGGACAGGAGCGAGCAAAGTGCTGCCTTTGCTTAGGACAAATTATGCCTGAGGAAAGGTAAATCCACGCTCGGACACACCAGCTCTCCTTCAAATCTTTAGTTTTCTATTAAAATATTGTTTGAAACTAAAATATAAAACAATGGGCTGGTACAACCATGGATTGACTCTAAAGGTGAGAAATTCTCCTTAAAAATATGTCATGTTTCCCATGTCCCTTATAATTCTGTCAAAACATAGAGTGAAAGCAGGCACTCCACGGCAGCTGTTTGTGTTAAGCTTTAATTATTCTGGGTCACGCACTGAACAGTTCACCTGTTGAAAATAAGGACTATATTTAAATTCAGCTGTGTCTGAATCCATACCCCCATGAGAAGTGAGACCTCTAAGTTCATGGGTCTGAGATAAGACTTGTTAAAGTTTCTCTTCTTTTTTTCAACGTTCATTAGATGTTCAGACAATTAAGCTTTGAATAGCAGTTGTTATAAAGTCAGGAAAAAATGAAGCAACTTTTCCTTTTATAGTCTAGGCTAACACAAATACTTTTTATTTCAAGTTCAGGAAATTGGATGCAATGGCTTTGTAAGCTGTAGTACATGTAGACATTTTAGTGATTTGCTTAAAATTCTTAGGACTAAGAATAGGTTTGTTTTGGTTTTTTTATTGCTGGGTTAATGGTTTTGTAACTGTAGTACGTGTAGACATTTTAGTGATTTGCTCAAAATTCTTAGGACTAAGAGACTAAGATTAGGTTTGTTTTGGTTTTTTTATTGCTGGGTCCACCATCTGTTTCTTGCTTCACTTGACTGAGGGTGGCAATGAGGTCTCCCCTCAGCCTCCTCTTCTCCAAACTAAACATGCCCAGTTCCCTCAGCCTCTCCTTGTAGGACTTGATCTCTAAGGGCCCCTTTTTCCTCAGTGGGCAAGTTATTTGTAGCTTGTCCTGCTAATGAAAGGCTTGAAGATCTGCTTTTAAAATGTCTCCTTTGGACAAATCAGGAATGTGCTATAGATCAGCAGCTGTAATCTGTTGGTGCTGGTTTTGTAGTGTGTAATGCTGCAAATTTATAAAGAAAAGATAAATTTACAGTTGTTTTAAGCACAACACTTTGGCCTTTCGTGGCACTGTCAGGGGCATAATCCTTAGAATATGAAAATCCTGTGGCACTGTGTCGGGCCAGCAGGGGCATAATCCTTAGAATATGAAAATCCATCTCTAAGGGCCCCTTTTTCCTCAGTGGGCAAGTTATTTGTAGCTTGTCCTGCTAATGAAAGGCTTGAAGATCTGCTTTTAAAATGTCTCCTTTAGACAAATCAGGAATGTGCAATAGATCAGCAGCTGTAATCTGTTGGTGCTGGTTTTGTAGTGTGTAATGCTGCAAATTTATAAAGAAAAGATAAATTTACAGTTGTTTTAAGCACAACACTTTGGCCTTTTGTGGCACTGTGTCGGGCCAGCAGGGGCATAATCCTTAGAATATGAAAATCCCTAAGGCAGCAATAATAACTGATTTAACTGCAAAGACACATCAACAGCCATATGATTCGAGTTGGAGCTACTACCTTGTAAAAGCTGTTTGCTTCTGGAGAAATACTGCAGTTTGCTGAATTCATTGTCTGTGATTGCAAAGCTGTGGGAGTTTCATGGTCTGCCTAGTGTGAGAGAGCACAAGGAGTGAAAAGGGGACAACCCTTTGACATCCGCCTGTGTTTCAGATCTGCCGCAAGCTGAACGGAGTCCGTTTCACCTGCTGCAAAAGTGCCAAAGACCGGACCTCCATGTCGGTGACGCTGGAGCAGTGCTCCATCTTGAGGGACGAGCATCAGCTTCACAAGGACTTCTTCATCCGGGCGCTGGACTGCATGAGAAGGTACGTGGAGACTATTGCATGCCCCGTGCGCGGGGAGCACAGAACAGACTGAAGCCGGTGGCAGGTGGGGGACGGGCCCCAGACCCCATTTAGCAGAGGAGTGACCAGCAGCACGACAGCTGGCGAGTTTTATCACTAATTAACAGCTTCTGAGGTAGACAGGTGAAGCCTCGTGTCGCTTCAGACTGTAGAATTTGACCAAAGTACATAGCAGTTATTTTAACAATTTATTGGGCTTTCATAAGGCTTAAAATTTTAGCAACATTCTACAATGATACAAAAAAAATACATTATTTCCTGTTTTAAGAACATTTTTTTAAAATGCTTACACATTCATTAAATCATTTTTTAAAATTTAGACAAATATTCTGAAAGCAGAATAAGCATTTGTTACAGATGGACATTCTTATTAGCTCCTGTTATTAAAAATAAAATAACCACCCAAGTAGGTTTGGACTGATGGTGGTTGCCACTAGCACCTGATACAATCTTTACTGTGCTTAATAAATAAATAAATAAATGTTTCATTCTAAATTACAGCCACGCAGAAATCGAGGCTGATGTTATTAGGAACGTGTAATTAAAAGTTGTAAAGATTTCTGATTATCTGAATCTTTGATGAATAAAAAGAAAAAAATTGAGCAAACAAGTTTTGATGATAACATGAATCCAGATGCTATATTCTCCATGGAAAATTTCGTCATTGGCTTTAATAAGTTCTGCATTATATTTTCTGTAAGAGTTTGAAAAAAATGTATTCGCAACATTCAAATGATATATAGCAAAGGTCACTTCAAAACTAATAGAAAATATTCTGATTAGCCTGCAAAGATGTAAATTAATCATATTTTGCACCTGTATGAAACACAAACTGCTTTTGTGTTGGATTTGGAAAGGAAAACAATCATGTTTAAAGTCTGTAATTGATAATTCTTGACGTTAATATTTAGTATTGTCAGATCAGGTGTTGTATGTCCAGATGAACACTGTAGGTTTACGCATGTAGGGTTCCTCCGTCTTTTGGCAATGATAGATATCCTAAAGAAAAAAGGTAATGTTTGCAAAGAGTAATGGAGCGGAGGAGTGAGATGGCTCAGATGCAGAGCTGGTTTGCAAGGTGTTAGTGCAGTGTGATGGATTAAACCGAGGGGCACCATCTCACACGTATCATTGGCTGCATAAATCCCCCGGTCTTGGCAGGATTTCAGTGAGTGAATGACTTGTGTGCAGTCTGCCATAACTACATCTTTTATCATTAATGAAAAATTTCTGAGTTTTCTGTGTTAAATTTCATTTGTGTTGGCATTTCAAATATTTTTTTTTCTTTTATGTCTCCAATAACTACAGAAGTGTGTAAACTACAGCAAATTACCAGACACAGGCAAACTAATTATATAAAATCATTATTATGTTAGAATAGCATTGAGTAGTAGATTGGAAAAATTTCACACATATAAACCTGTTAAAAAAGCAAGCCCTGATATTTATACAAACTAACTTGTTAGTATGAAAGCGTAGTAGGTTTTTATAGACTAAACTGTAAGCTTTTATATCACAGAAATGATCTGAAAGCTGAGAAGATTAACACATTAGCTATATTTGCAGATAACAGTAAATTGGAGTCACAAAAGAATGGTGAAAAGCCCAGGAAATCTGGAGAAAACTTAGAAAACAAATGAGCAGATGGGTTTATGAGGTTGAAGCACCATCACAACAGAATAAAAATGTGGAATGGGGACACATAGTACTTAGCTCTACAGTACTCCATTGGGAGTTGGTTAGACAATTTTAATAGCTGTCTTTGGGTGCTTTTTTTTGGTATCTTTGGTGCCAGAGACATCCACCGGGGACTGTTTGTCGCTCCCCAGTGCCCATCTGTTGGGAAGTGTTTGTGGAGCAGTGGTGGAGCAACGCAGATCTCCCCCCTCTCCACCACTGACGAGGCAGCCTGGCACGGGCCCTCCAGCTGGGCTCTCTTCTTGTAGGCAGATGGAGAAAGGTGAATGGCAGGGAAAGGCCATTTGAGAGAGCAAACTGGGAAGGAAAGAACAGTCGGGCAAAAGAGAGGGGGGAAAAAAAGCCATAATTCCTGCAGGAAGAGATATAATGGTGTTTCAGCTAAATCTCCTGTATTTTACTTGAGGGAGGTTGGCAGCACGTTTTTGAGGTTTGTGTGAATGAGGTCAACAGACTTGTTTGGTAGTCGTCATGATGCTTGCCCTTTCAACCTTTCTTCTCATTTGCTTATTGTTGCAGAGTGTTATTTGAAAGATGATGCTGTGCATTTCTGTGATGCTTGCCCTTTTATCCTTTCTTCTCACTTGGTTATTGTTATTTGAAAGATGATGCTGTGCATTTCTAAGCTTTTCATTGACTACTTGTAGAAGCTTTTAGAATTATCTTCACGTCTTAAAGAACCTATTTTGTTTTAAGAGTATACAGAGAAAAACTTGTTTGCCGTTTAATTTATAATTTTAGCAATTTCCTCCTGATGAATCTTCTCTAGATCACTTAGTTATACTCTGTCAATCAAATCCATGCATGCTGATTGCCACAAATCACTTTTAAGCCTTTCAAAAGGACAAGTAGACAAGAAAAATTCAATTTTAACATCCAGAATCCTAAGACTGGATTGATCTTTGAAAGGCCTCTTTCAAGAGTTAACAGTAGGAGATAGAGAGTGCTGTGAAACAAAGTGAGTTGTAAAAGTAAACGGCGATTCAAAAGCAGCCTTTATTGGAAATGCCATAATTTTGAGATATGAAAATTATAAAGGTGCCCGTGTAGCTGTAAAGCTTTTTCTTTTCCTGCCGGTGCTGACACAGCTTTGGTGGCTGTTGTAAAAGTGAAGCACGTGCTTGGGGGTTCATGCTTTCTTGCCACCAGAAGTTGGGAGAGACTGGACTTCTGCGTGCTGCTGCTTTTTGGCTTCTCTGATGCCCCTGGTATTTTGGGGCAATTTCAGCTGTTTCAGTATGTTTGCTTCACTGTGCGTTGCACAGCACTGGTTTGGAAACTACTGCCAGTAGCTGTTACTTAATGGCTTTGTTTGTAAGTAGAATCAGTGTCTTGTAGCAATAAACTATATGATGTTTATCACTTAAAAAAAACCAAACCAAACTAACCCTGTGCAAAAATCCTCCCATTAGTTGTCCCGTTAGCTTATGAAAAATGTGGTGAAATGATGTTAGGAATTCAAGCTTTATCATTTACGACATATATTATATGATTTTGTCTTCTGAGTTTAACTCCAACCATTAGGATGCTGCAATTGATGTGTATTGCTATTCCATAAATAATTCTACATATTATAGTTTTCTTGGTATTTGTACGTGACATTCATTGATCTTAGTGACATGCATAGTGCAGAATGAGGAAAATCCGTATATTCTCATCTCTGTATCAATTGCTTGCAATTCACAGTGCACTAAAATCGTATTTATAATACTGCTACCGTTTTCAAATCACCTTTTTTTTGCTATCATCGATTTTCTTTCCTATTTTTTCATTGACCAATATGTGAATATTTTCTGTCATTCAATGTTAACTATATTCCAAGAGACAGTAGAGACAAAACTGATTTACCCGAGTTCATGGCAGTATCTGTCACGCAATTCTATTTTTCATCTTTAGAGCTGGCCATTGCTGGAGGGAGGTTGGACCCTGGTAGGCAGCACACTATGAAGCAGTTCTGCAAAACTCATTTGATTTTTTTTTTTTCTTTTTTTTTCTGAACCTATTTAATTTTAATATTTCAGTGACAGGGCCCCTTTTGGAGGCCTTGGGTAACAAGTAACCTCAGGCTTTCCTGGGTTTTGAGCATGTTTCCAATAAAGCCTCAAAAGTAAAAAACAAGCAAAGGAAATTACAAACCCACTGTCCATGGTGAAGCCTCCAGGCTTTCAGCCTTATCATCATTCTTGGCAGGGCACAGTAACTGTCAGATATTTCAGACATTGAATACAAAATTTGACTCAATGTGGGACACTGTTTTCACCTGAAACAGCAGTCAAGGATATTTCAGATTATTTTAGATAAATTGCCTATCAAAAATCTGATTGAAGCCGAAACACGAAGAGTGAATGGTCTGGACAATGAGGTATGGGCTTTGATAGCCCAGTTATGAAGCAAATAGCTCCTCTTTAAAGAGATGTTTGAGGGCATATCTCCTTAAAGATAATGTTAAAGATGCCCGAGTTGAGAAGGAGAGAGAGCTTAATAGCTCTTTAATCAGGGACTTTCAGATGTTCTGGGTGGAATCCATAGGTCCAGGCTGAGATGGCCCTTGGCCATGGAAGGGCCTATACCAGAGTGTTGTGATTGCTGCGTGGACGAGGAAGCAGGAGCCAAAGGTCAGGATGAGAGACTGGGATCCACGTGCAGATCCTCCTTGCCCTTCTGCCACGTCCCAGCTTGTACCCTGCCCCTACAGGCCTGTGGCAAGAGCTGCAGTGCATGGGGGGGGGGGTGACACAGAAGACACAGCACATGGTGCACATGGTCTCCTATTACCTTTCCTTTTTCCAGCCCTTCTGAGCTTCCCCATCTGTTTCTTTTTTTTTTTTTTTTTTTCCCCTAAGAGTATTAGCGTAAACAAAACTTAAAAATGGAGAGCTGTCTTCCAACATGGATTTTTCCATCATTCTATGGTCCTTTAGAAACTTAACATTTATATTTTGAGGTACAGACTGTAGATGGAAAGATTTACATTACCTAATGTATTGAAAGAGGCCTGGCATTAAGTAATGGCAAGGCCCAATTTTGGTGCATTGAACCACTATCAATTTTATTTTCTACAACTAAATTACTACTTCTTCAAATAGCAACAGTTTGCAGAGGAAAAGAAAACAGAATGGATAGAGATGGAGAAAAGATGTAATAAGAATCAGTGCCATTGGCTCTTTGTTGGGCTGTTTTAGAATAAAGATCTATTTCTGAGCATCCTTCTGGAAAGAGGAGAACGATTGCAGAAACCCACTGCAGACAAAGTATCAAACAGG